TTAGGGACAAGGGATTGCTCCTAAGAAACTCATAATATAGGAAGAAAATTGGATACACATGCAAAATATCAGCTAAAAATGCTGCTTTAATGCCTCCTTGAGTCCTCCCTAGGCCTCTTTGAACCCACATTCTCCTGCCTGTGGATGTCATTCCTGTCTGGACCTCAAGGGTGTGTCATAAGGGAGTGAGGAATAGCAAACTAGGTGTAAGAGCCACTGCTGAAGAAACTCATAATATAGGAAGAAAATTGGATACACATGCAAAATATCAGCTAAAAATGCTGCTTTAATGCCTCCTTGAGTCCTCCCTAGGCCTCTTTGAACCCACATTCTCCTGCCTGTGGATGTCATTCCTGTCTGGACCTCAAGGGTGTGTCATAAGGGAGTGAGGAATAGCAAACTAGGTGTAAGAGCCACTGCTGGGAGCTCCTCAGAGCTGCTGGAGGTGCTCAGAGGGGTTGGAGTTTGCTCCATGGGCTGTGAGAGTCACTGGTTTGACCTGATTTCTCTCCTTCCAGGGGGTGAACCACCGGCTCAGGGGGAGTCTGACAGCCATCAAAACCAGAGCTCCACAGCTGGGAGGTAATGGATTTGGGGATCTTGGGAATGGGACCCTGGGCTATGGGGGCAGCAGGTCCTTAGGCCAAAGTAAATGCCATGACTTCCATTCTGATCACACTTGGCTAAGCAGAGATTAGTGAGATGATCTATGCAATGGGAATATCTCTGCAAGTTGGGGATGTTCCTTGTGATTGGTTTTAACCTGTATCTGGTTCTTTTGGGGTCTGTATTGACCTCCTGTCTGTAAGTGAGCACAGGAGCCACAGCAGCTCTTGGAGCACTACAAGTGGCTTCTCTGCTGTCTCCTAACTGGGTTGGTTTCCTTTGTTCCAGGTAGTTTTGCTGTCTGGGGAGGTCTCTTCTCCATGATTGACTGCAGTATGGTCAGGATGAGAGGGAAAGAAGATCCATGGAATTCCATCACCAGTGGTGCCCTGACTGGAGCCATTTTAGCTGCAAGAAGTAAGAAATTGGGGATATGAGCCCCAAAACCTCCTGTGCTCTGAATCTAACAGCTCTCATGGTTATAGCAAAGCAACTCTGACACCCACGTTGGAATTTGCTTTCTCAGAGACACTGAAAGACAACCTGAAACTTTTCTCCTGTGCCTATGGAATCAATAATCAGATTGCCAAAGGTTCCCAGTGAGCTGTGAGTTCCTTGGGAGGAGGAGGAGGAGCAGGAGTTGCCCAGTAATTATTCTTTAATGCAGCTTAATGGAGGCAAAATGACTAGTCTGAGGCTGGTTTAGGACAGATTAAAACTGCACAAAGAGGGTGCTGAGACACTGGCACAGATTGCCCAGAGCAGCTGTGGCTGCTCCAATCCCTGGGAGGGTCCCAGGGCAGGTTGGACAGGGCTTAGAGCAACCTGGGCTAGTGGGAGGTGATGAGCTTTAAGATCTCTTCCCACCCAAACCTTTCCATGACTCTTTGAAATCTAAGCAATGCAGCAGAGAATTCCAAGTGATGGTTTGTGTTCATTCCCAGATGGTCCTGTGGCCATGGTTGGATCTGCTGCCATGGGAGGGATTCTCCTGGCCCTCATTGAAGGAGCTGGAATTCTGCTGACAAGATTTGCATCCACACAGTTCCCAAATGGTAAGGAACCAACAGAGATGGGGACACGAGAGTTTGTGCCTCTTCCAACCATCAGTGTTAGCCCGGAGTCCTGAGGCTGTGGGAAGCCAAGGAGAAGCTGCAGGTGCTGATGACACCAAAGTATCATCAGCTCCTTCCTGCTGGGTGGCTGGAGGTGACATGTCTGAGGTGGGACAGCCCTGCTGCCCATGTCAGGTGGTGGGATGGGTGGAGGGATGGGTGGGTGGATTTAGGCAGTGGTGGGACACCAGGGTTTGAGGGAACAGCAGGCTGTGGGCAGGAGGGATGGTTCTGGCAAGCTGGAGTTGGAATCCTGGGGGAAATGAGGAAATGAAAATCAGGATAAGGATAAAACATTTGTAAGGAAGGTGGTGGTGGTTGGTTTTGGTTGGGTTTTTTTCTGAACTGCTTTAATATCTACATCCTTTTTATTTCCCCGAGTAAAACACAAGCTGAGGTGTCAGTTGGGTGAGGAATTGTGTGAGTACTTGACTGTGGAAAATCCTAAATGCCTCTGTCATAGGATCCCAGGCTAGGCTGTGCTGGAAGGATGTTAAATCCCATCCCATCCCACCCCTGCCATGGGCAGGGACACCTCCCACCAGCACAGGTTGCTCCAAGCCCTGTCCAACCTGACCTGGAACACTCCCAGGGATGGAGCAGCCACAGCTGCTCTGGGCAACCTGTGCCAGTGCCTCAGCACCTCACAGGGAGGAATTCCTTCCCAATATTCCATCCAGCTCTGCCCTCTGGGAGTGGGAAGCCATTCCCTGTGTCCTGTCCCTCCATGCCTTGTCCCAAGTCCCTCTGCAGCTCTCTTGGAGCCCCTTGAGGCACTGGAAGGGGCTGTGAGATCTCCCTGGAGCTTTTGTTCTCCAGGCTGGACACCCCCAGCTCTCAGCCTTTCCACCTAGGAGAAATGCTCCACCTTATTTTGAGAATACAGACAAACCCACTAGTGTTGGATTAGTAGCAGGTCACTATTCTCAAGTGGTTTCCTCTCTTGGGTTTGTTTACTGATGGTCTTTGTCCAGTCTAAATTGTGAGAATTGCTGTGCTTTAAAGGCATATAAATATTAATCTGCCTTGGACAAAGATGTCATCTGTCTGGTACAATTTATTCCCTCTGGGATTGGCCCCCAACAGCCACTCCACACTTGTTCCATGTCACTGGTTCCTTTATCATGGTGCTGGTTAAACCTTCACAGAGGGGCCAAGTCCACATCAAGGGCACTAAGGCACAGGTTTCCACCTCCTCCTGGTGACTCACAGTGTTTCCCTCTCCCTGCTCTGATCCAGTTCCCTGTTGGTAATCCTTGGAGCCACCTGGGCTAGTGGAAGGTGTCCCTGCCCATGGGATGAGATGGGATTTCAGGTCCTTCCAACCCAAACCAGTCTGGGACTCTATGATAATCTGAGGTCTTTTCCAATCATGATGATTCCTGGTGAGGGAAAAGCTAGAGACCTGCCCAGGACATAGGTAAAAGGAAGGGAAGAGCTGGGAATTGGTGAGGACTCTTGAAAGGCAGAAGGATCATCCTGGGAATGTGGACAGGACAGGCTGATAAACACAACAGCACAGTTTAAGGACATATATGTTGGGAACAGACTGGGAGATGCTTAAAGGTTGATCAGCCACTTCTCTCCCCTTGGTTGCAATTTCCCTCCCAAACCAGTCAGGGATTTATGATTTTATGGACTTGATGATTTTAGAGGTCTTTTCCAACCACAGTGATTCCTGATGAGGGAAAAGCTTGAGACCTGCCCAGGACATGGGTAAAAGGAAGGGAGGAGCTGGGAATTGGTGAGGACTGTTGGAGTGTAGTTAGAACCTGATAAACACAACAGCACAGTTGAAGGATGTGTGAGGCACAGACTGGGAGATGCTTAGAGGATGCTACAACCACTTCTCTCCCCTTGGCTGCAGTTTCCCTCCCAAACCAGTGTGGGATTTATGGTTAATTTTAAGATGGATTTATCCAAACCAATGGTGTTAGTAGGAATAATCTCCTGTGTGTTGGTGTTCATGTGCCTCTCCCTGTCCCTGCTGCAGGCCCACAGTTGTCAGAGGATCCCTCCCAGCTCCAGCCCTCCCCGTTTGGCGAGTACAGACAGTACCAGTGATGGTCCCATCTCCTCCCCCTGTGCCTGAGCGGTCCTGCCTGGAGCTGGAGCCCCCCATGGGTATGTGCACCCCAGTGCTGTCCCCACACACCACCACAGGAGGATTTGCAGCACTGCTCAGTGTCAAAACTGCTCAGGAGAACTTTCAGCAGATGACAAATCTATTTATTCCTGATAGATTCCATTGCTGTATGTCACACATGGCTGGTAGAATACATGGAGGGTTGAGACAAGGACCTAATGGAGTCTTGTCATCCTTTGGACATGGACTGAAGTCTTTGAAGTCTCCTCTGGGATGTGGCACTGAGCAGCCACAGTGAACACAGCTGGAATTTAGCCTCTTCCACATTGGATTTGGGTTGTGGGATGGAGGGGGAATGTTGCACCTGCAGTTGTGTGTGTGTGACAGGTATGTCTGTCTGACAGGTGTGTGTGTGTGTGCAGGCTCATCTCACTTTTCCCCCTTCCCTGGTTCCTCAGGCAAATTTTAACACCAGTGTTCTGGATCTGTCCTTGCCCAGTGCTCTATCCTGTTCCCAGGTGAGCCCCAGCACAGCCTGAGGGTTCCACCAGAGCCTTCCATGTGCATCCAAACCTTGGTGCTCATCCCTGGGGTTGTCCCATCCTTGGATCCAGGAGTGGAGCACTTGGGTGTTGTCAGATCCATGTGGAGAGCTGTGGAGCAGGAGAGGGTGGAGAGCCACAGAGGTGTTCACACCTGGTGGCTTAGGACTGTATGGAGCACATGGTCCAGGCTCACAGCTCCTGTGCTCCTGCCTGTCCCAGAGCCACCCCAGGAGCACTGAGCAGCTCCAGAGAACACAGCTGGAATTTAGCCTCTTCCCCATGGGATTTGGATTGTGGGATGGAGGGGGAATGTTGCACCTGCAGTTGTGTGTGTGTGACAGGTATGTCTGTCTGACAGGTGTGTGTGTGTGTGCAGGCTCATCTCACTTTTCCCCCTTCCCTGGTTCCTCAGGCAAATTTTAACACCAGTGTTCTGGATCTGTCCTTGCCCAGTGCTCTATCCTGTTCCCAGGTGAGCCCCAGCACAGCCTGAGGGTTCCACCAGAGCCTTCCATGTGCATCCAAACCTTGGTGCTCATCCCTGGGGTTGTCCCATCCTTGGATCCAGGAGTGGAGCACTTGGGTGTTGTCAGATCCATGTGCAGCTCCAGTGTCAGTCCCTGGCCTGACCCTGCACCACAGGGCTCTGCTGGGAGGGGACACCCTCAGCCTTGTCACCTCTCCTGGAGCACTGGGTGACCTCTCCCGGCAGTGCTGTGTCTGGGATTGGGCTCTGCCCTGGTGGGACATGGGGTGCAGGACTTGGGGGTTGACGTGCAGGCAGGGACCTGCTGCTGCCCACCCTGGAGGCTCCAGCCAGGCCTAGCCTGGGGGCTCCTCACTGCCAAACAGCTCAGCAAAGAGACCACCACACAAGGTGACTCTCACCTGCAGGGGGTGGCAGGCACAAGGGGCACAGAGCTGTGGTGGGACAGGGGGCACAGGGCTGTGGTGGGTCCTGCGGGGAGAGAGGGCTGTGGTGGGACAGGGGGCACAGTGACAGCACTGTCCCTGCAGGGACAAGGGGCACAGAGCTATGGTGGGACAGTAGGCACAGGGCTGTGGTGGCCCTACAGGGACAGGGGACACAGGGCTGTGGTGGGACAGAAGGCACAGAGCTATGGTGGGACAGGGGGCACTGGGCTGTGGTGGGACCTGCAGGGACAGGGAGCACTGGGCTGTGGTGGGACAGAAGGCACAGAGCTATGGTGGGACAGGGGGCACAGGGCTTTGGTGGGCCTGGAGGG